GGAGACAAGAGATAACACAGTCCAGAGCAGGAGCGTGGGAAGAGGAAGAGTTTAGAATAGCCACTCCCTAGAATCTCTCAGGGTATATCCACTAGGTTAGAGTAGTACAGATTTAGTCTGGCAAGATTCTGTCTATATGGTGTAAGCAATTAAAGAACTGAATTTGGATGACCTGTTTCCCTGTTCCTGGATTGGGCCTGACAGATACAGAGTTAAACATTAAGGCTGCTTCTAACATTAGGCAGAATCCAGTTGTTGCTTTCAGGGGTTGATGGTGGGCATTGGGAGCGCTCTGGAGGAACTGGAAAATGTTGCTGGTGGACTATGTCCACCCTGCTCTCCTCAACCTGGAGCTGTCCATTTGCCAGTGCTGAAATGAAATGAGGGACCTTTTCTGGGCCCAGAAACTAATCAGGGTCATACCTATTTATTTATTTATTTGATCTATAGAGCTGGCCTTCCAACCAGAGCAACGCTGGGTGGCTAACAGCATTTAAAATCAGAATGCGAACAACCTTGATCCATGCAGTAGCAACCAAGGTCAACCCTACTGACCACAAGTCAACAACTTGATGGGCTTCAACTCATCATCTGAACCCCGTGCCAGCAACACATCCAGATCTTTTTTAAAAAAAAACTTGGCCAGGTCAGGGCCACTCTAATCTAAGGGGGAATGGTGTGCCAGAGGGTAGCTGCTGTGCCAGACCAGGCACACTTTCTGGATCTGGAGAGATGACCAATGCTTTTCCTGCCAGATTGGATGGGACAGGTAGACACAATCAGGGAGAGGTGGTCCTGCAAATAGTCCAGCCCTTTGCCATGAAGAGCTTCATCTCAGATAGGAGGCTACCAGATAGGAGGCTACCAGGGCTCAAATGGAAATCGAAAAACATCTCAAAGGAAGATGATGACAAACTGCTTCTGTATTGATCTCAAGGAAACTGCACTGATGTGTTTGTGATATTTGTAGGTGTCAACTGGGTGTCTTGGTGGAGCAGAAGCTGGAGGCTAACTTTGGGCAGAGAAAAGGGACTTAAGAAGGAGAGCGGGCTGGGCTCTGGCAGGGACCCACTCTTGGAAGGCAGACCAAGCGTCCTCTGCCCACATGAGATGGCTGTTCTGGGAAGATGTGCTAATAATCCATCTCCCCTTTAATTCAGGGACTTCCTTTCAGGTTGGGGGTCATTACACAGCTATGGACAAGAGGAAATATATTTCATCAGTGGTTTGGGAAGGGATGTTCCAGCAAACAGAGGCAGGGCAATTGCAAGGCTGGTGTTACATCTCTTTAGCACACCATTGCCAAGAAAGAGCCAGCAGGAACATGGGATCTGTTACTCCTCCTCTTTGTCCGTGTCAGGCCCCAGTTAGGGCATGCTCCAGTTCCCATCTGTTAAGGAACTATTTTCTGGTGAGACCCAGGAGATGGGCCTTTTTTGCTGTGGCGCCGACCCTGTGGAACATCATTCCCCCCCCACAAGGTGAGTCTGGCCCCCTCTTTGACATCCTTCCAGAAGTCCCTTAAAATGTGGTTATGTCAGCCTAACCAAATGTTGGGGTCTTGCGGAAATGGGGATTTAATGAGGTGGCTACATGGGGTGTAACATCTATGGTCTCCCTACACTTCCTAGTTTTTTTTTTAAATAATAATATTTATGTTTTAATTTTAGAGTATTCTTGTAATTATTGTTTTGGGGGGTTTTATAGTACGCTGCCCAGAGACCCATTTCTGTGAGATGGGCAGCATGTAAATATAATGAATAAAGAAAAATAAATAAATAAGGGACATTTTCATGTAGGCCAGAGGGGGAAAGGAGAGGCCACTACTGACTTTTCCATCAACTTTTCCTGATTCCCCAGTGCAGGGGTGAATGCCCAGGGGGTCAAAAAAGTCCAGATGCCAGCCATAACCATGCTGTCAAAGCCTTGCCCTTTTTTAGGTCCCTCACCATTGACTTTTTTGACCTCCTCCCTGTGGACACCCCTGCAGCTGAGTTTATAGCCCTGGGACTTCCTAGAGGTCTCCCATCCTAACACTGACCGGCCCGGGTCAGTTCTGTGCTGCCTATGAGATTAGTTTTGATTACTGTACTGATATTCCAAACACTTTGGTATTTTATTTTTTCCCCCACTTTGCTCGTGCGTGTGCGTGTGTGTGCGTGCGCGCGCGCGCGTCTGCGTCTGTGAGTGAAAAACGCTCCTGTAAAACAGCTGAGCAGCGCAGGGCAACTCCAGCCAGCCCAGCCTCCCTCCCAGCCCAGGACGTTGTACGCCACTGCTCCGCCTCCCCGCTCGACATGAGCCCCGCCGCTCGCCGTAGCCCCGTTGCCATGGCTACGTAAGCGGCGCGGCCTACCTCGCGGTGGAGTCTTGGTGTATTTATCCGTCGAACCGAGCCATCCGACGGGGTTGGAGGAAGCCATTATGTCTTTCCGCGACCTCCGGAGTGAGTCGAATGGGGTGGAGGGGGAGACGAGGGAAGGAGATCCGGGGTGTATGTGTATTCCCATCGAGCCCCCTCCAACTTCTCCCATCGCCTAATCACCCCAGCGGGGCGCCATTATCACCGCTCCCCGTCCCCAAAGAGCGCAGGATGTGACCCCCCCCGCTTTGATTCATACAACAACCCTGGCAGGTAGGAGTCCCAGGGCTCCTGGGCTAGCATAGCTGGCCTGCAAGAATCATCACGACCACTGGAGGGCAGCAAAGAGACGCGAGGGAAACCCTGGCTCGCTGCTGCCATCTAGAGGTCGCCTGGAGGCATCCAGGATAAGAAGCGTTTCCCCCCTCATCCCCCCAGCTTAAAAACTCTGTGTGGAGTCCCATCATCCCCAGCCAGCATGGCTCTAGAGGTCAGAGTTTCAACACACCTGGAGGGCATCAGGTTTGGAGAAGCTGCTGTAACCATGGTTCCACTTCCTAAATGAAAACCATAATAATAATAATAATTTTATTAAACTTGTATGCTGCCCTACTCTCAAGGATGAAAAGGGGGGGGTGCTCCTGGTCTCTGCCTTCTCTTATTATTTTCCCATTTTTAATTGTAAGACACCCAGTCATTTGCAGCCTCTAAATTTAATAAAATAAGTAACATACCAGGAGCCCTTTGCTTCTTGTACAGCAGTGTTGTCCAAACTTGGCCACTTTAAGCCTGGCTGGGGAATTCTGGGAGTTGAAGCCCACTCATCTTAAAGTGGCCAAGTTTGGACAACACTGTTGTACGGTGTTGCAGGTACCTTGTTTTAGCCTCCCTCCATGGACCAATGTGAGGAGAGCCTTCTGAGTCAGCTCACAAACTTGACTCACCTGGATTGTATTTTATGTTTGAAATTGTCCTTGGCTGAAGAAGTGAGTCAGCCTGTCATCCTGTATTAGCAGCCAGAGAAGAGGAGACTCCCCTTTTTGGGGGGGCCAGTGTTGGGGGTGCGATGATCAGATCAAAACTGGTGGCACACGAGGCTGCAATGTGGTTGAAGGTTGGGCCCATGTCACACGACGTGTTTAACCTGGTCAGGTAAAGGCTATATAAATTAAATAAATAATAGATAAATGGCAGACGCCATTATGCAGCATGCAGCATTTAGTTAGTGCTAATCTTGGTTAGTTTTCTCCTGGCTTAGTAGGTTGGGTGAATCCAGTCACTGGTTAAGTCATGGTTCAGTTGTTGTTGTTGTTCAGTCGTTAAGTCGCGTCCGACTCTTCGTGGCCCCATGAACCATATCACTCCAAGCCTTCCTGTCCTTCACTGCCTCCCTGAGTTTGCTCAGTTTCATGCTCATTGCTT